CTAGATGTTATGAGGGCCGTTTGGGAGCAATTGAACAGTGCCAAGGCACAGATAGATCACTACGGTCTGAGGAGAATGGCACTATGAAGAGTTTCAAGGGGATCTGGCTGACGCTCGACACTTAAGGGAAAGGCGACACGGATATACAGTCAGAAAGTTACTGGTACCATCGAAATTTGAACTCTTCACTTACTGCTGAAGATGGGGACAGAGTGCTTATGGGGGTTGTCCTAAGTGCTGTGATGTCGATTGTTAATTCAACATTCATGTGAAAAATCCAACCAAATGTGAACAAGTCCTCAGAAGGTCTGGCTGAGATGAGACCCCCCCACCAAATATGTTGCACAATTTATTGCCTGCTATTTTTGGCTGCATCTCATCAGATAACAAAAATTCACATGAAAGTTGTATAAATCCTCTGTTGTAGACTCCTTACGCACACAGTACTGCAGTGAAAACAAGGCTGGTATGACTGTTATAGGTGCCCCAATTATATTTTTTATAGAGGTTGAACAGGGTATCTCGAATTTGTCCCGTTTGTCTTGCTGCACAGACTTAGTTGAGGTTTCAACTTCACTGCTATCGGGTTTCCCGATACATGCTCCTTTTCTGTGCCGGTGCAAATCAATGAAATGTCCCTTACTGCCTCATTAAAAAAAAAAAAACTGTTCAACAAACATGAATAATCCAGAAATATGCGCACGCAGAAATGCATATAGCAGTTGCTAGAAGCGCCAAATCTAACAGTTGCCACCAGAAATGCAGATTGTCGTTTATGGAAGTAGGGCATGATAAGTTGGTTATTCACACGTAGGATTATTACCTATTTTGGGATAACAGAGGCATCAAACCAGAACTGTTTAATCTTCACGACGGACCAAACATTTTAAAAGCTGAAGTGGCAAAGGTTATTAAAAATATGAAGCATGCAAAAGCTGCAGGTCCCGACAAAATAGCAACGGAAATGATAAAATCACTATCCAGCTTTGGCGTTGATAGCATCACTGAAATGTATAATGGTATTTATAATAATAACTACATTCCAAATGATTTGAAAACGTCCATTTTCATCACACCGCCCAAAAAGTCAAAAGCCGTTGAGTGTGAAGATTATAGAACAATTGAATTGAGCGTCTGGCGATGTGGATGTACAGAATAGATCGTATTTCATGGAAACAAAAACAGCCCAATGCTGAGGTTCTGGAAAGGCTATAAATGAAAACAGAATTACTGAAATGGATAAAAAAAAAAAAAAAAAAAAGAGACAACTGAAATACTTTGGCCACATTAGAAGACAGAAGACATAACACACTTTAAAAAAAACCCCACACTGTACTGGAGGGAAAGGTCTAAGGCAAGCGAGCAAGAAGTAGGCAACGATACAAGTGGGAGGACAACATCAAGAGATGGACGGGCAGTGAGAGAGTGTGGAGACGGCACCTGATTGACTGAGAATTATTACCGGCTATATTGAATTCCACGACTCATCCGCTGCACAAATGAAAGACGTTATACATGAAAAAAAAAACACTCACAGTGCTGCACCAAGCACTAAACTCAATAGCTCGGGCAGCTAAACCGTACACCCCCGTTTCAAATGTGGAAACTGCATTAGCAAAGCGCTGTCGAAAGCAAAATAATCTAAGGGTGGTCAAATCTTAAGACAGCAGCCTGGAGGGTAAAGAACGGAACTGAACTAACACAAAGAATCACAAACAGTCATCTTTTCAATAACGTGACATTAATTTATTTTACCCCTGTTATGCAAATCCACAACTGTCTGGCTTCACATTTTCTAGATCACTGCTTAATGAGGTAAGGTGTTCAATTCCTTTCTTGCGCATTTTTTATCTCCGGTTTACAGAAACTATCAGTTATCCGGGGCCTAATTTGATTGGGTCGACATCAAAACAGGTAAAACAAAATAATCTGGCAACCGCTAGAGATTTAAAACTCAATCCAATGTCTTGGTAGGCAAGCACAGGCACTTTGTAGGCCTACCACCCTCTTTTTGGGGAAGGGGGGGGGGGGCGGAGGGTTAGAAAAAAGGAATATTTCGAAGCCCTTATGCATGCTCAAGAACAAGAAAAGTTGATCGAGCTGTTTTCTGGTTCACTCTTGCGCCCAGTCATAAAATGCATATGATTGTCTGGGTTTTGCTTATTAGTCGAAAAACATTATCCATCTCTGAGTTATGTTTATCAGTTCTGCTGGTCGTCCCCCAGGTCCCACCCATGACTTTCTGAATTATATCAGTAACAAAAACCAAACAGATAAATTGAATGTAGGTTACTGTACCACTTCGTCTTTCAGAAACAACACTCCAGACACATTTACCAGATTAAGATTTTCTGACTTCTAAGCAGCAGCAGATGGCGCATTAGCTGAAAACTGTAATTTGATTACATCGGATTTGATACAAAAACAACTATCTACACATATGTTCTTGTTTCTGTGTTTGGTTGGCTGCTAGGTGGACCGCGGAACAGTTGCCTCTGTTTTGACAGGCCGCTTATATGGAACGTTTTAAAAACCCTGTTCTGTTTTACTTTATACACTTACTGTAGTATTAAAACTGACATTTTTAATTTGTTTCATTTCAGCGGCGCCAACACACACAAACATTGAAGGAGGAGGTAGGCCGCTTCACCCCCTTGCCTTCTAGGCAATGTTGGGACCATCAAAGAGCATATCCTAGTTAAAGAGCCGTATCCTCTTCTTCTTCTTCTTCTTCTTCTTCTTCTTCTTCTTCTTCTTCTTCTTCTTCTTCTTCTTCTTCTTCTTCTTCTCCTTCTTCATCTTCTGCTTCTTTCGTTCGCATGAAATAGATGCGATGTTATCTCTAGTATGAACTTCACTGTCTTTCGTAATTCACTCAGCGACCCGTAAAGTTTTGCTTGAACCGGTGTTTCTCTTGTTAGAATGTTTTGCCTTGATATGTTGTACCTGGGACAGTCTTGGAGGACATGATCTGTTGTCTCAAGTGCCAGTCCACATGTGTACATGGCTGATTAGCCAATCTTAAATTGTGTGTACATGTAGCTACGAAGTCGATTGTGCCCGTTTTGAAGGCGTAGAATAATAACTTGCCCTGGTCTGTCCATAATTGGTAATCGTCTTGTGACGGTTTTGGTGGCTTTCTGATTGTTTTGGTTGTTCTCTTTTGCTGTTGATATGAGATTGGTACGTCAGGTTGTTCTTCATTTGCGCTTCCTTATTTCCTTCCTTAGCTTGCTCATCAGCTCCTTCCTTTCCAGAAGAAGAGCCTAATAATAATAATAATAATAATAATAATAATAATAATAATAATACTGTACCTAATGCTAAATAAATAAAATAATATCTTTGGCATAATATGACATTATAAATAAATACTTGAAAATTGAATTTGCTAATTTTTATATATGGATAAAGGGTGCCGCTTAGCCCGCTTTAAAAAGCGGGGGTGGGGGGGGGGGTTGCCTTTAAGGGCAGAGCCTTCAGGTCCCAGTGCCTGTTCGTTTTCGAATTTAAGCAGCAAAACACCCACAGTATCTGTGTTACTTTTTTGTAAAGTTATTTATATTACAATAAAAAAAAAAAAAACTGCATAACTTCTTTCAGTTAATGCTAAAACTGCAGTTTATGTATCTATTGAATTGTTACAATCACTCTTTATTCACTACCTCATACAGTACTAAAACTGCAGTTTCCGTGTCTATTCAATTCTTACAATAACTTTATATTCACTACAACATACAGTACTAAAACTACAGTTTCTCCATCTATTCAATTCTTACAATAACTTTTTATTCACTTCAACATACAGTGCTGAAACTGCAGTTTCTGTATCTATTCAATTGTTACAATAACTTTTTATTCACTTCAACATACAGTGCTGAAACTGCAGTTTCTGTATCTATTCAATTGTTACAGTATATCACTCTTTATTCACTGCATCATACAGTGCTAAAACTACAGTTTCCGTGTCTATTCAATTGTTTCAGTACATCACTCTTTATTCACTGCATCATACAGTGCTAAAACTACAGTTTCCATGCTTATTCAATTGTTACAGTGCAATCACTCTTTATTCACTACATCATACAGTACTAAAACTACAACTTCTGCATCTATTCAATTCTTACAATAACATTATATTCACTACAACATACAGTACTAAAACTACAGTTTCTCCATCTATTCAATTCTTACAATAACTTTTTATTCACTTCAACATACAGTGCTGAAACTGCAGTTTCTGTATCTATTCAATTCTTCTTCTTCTTTCGTTCGCATTATCTATTCAATTGTTACAATTACTCTTTATTCACAACATCATACAGTACTAAAGCTAAAGTTTCTGTATCTATTCAAATGTTACAATAACTTTGTATTCACTACAACATACAGTGCTTAAACTGCAGTTTTTACATTACTGTATTTAAATCAATAACTGACTCGCTGTTACACGTTTAATAACTTCTATAACGTGTAACAAGATATCGATTAAGTTGATAACCCAAGTAATAACGCTAAGGATCCCAACAACAACAAAATATATGAGGGTAGTAAACAGCGCTATGTTTGTTATACGTTATGAAGTATGTTAAATGGTATGACAAAATGCCTTTGGCAGATAAAATGTACAAGTAGTGGTCAAATGCTTCAAATACGCATGGCATAGGTATTTGGGGTGGGATGGGGGAAGGGGGGAATTTCGGTCCCTGGTCGACCCAACGTAAAATGGATACGAGGTAACGTCTTGGGAAATACAGAAGGCCGGTTGATGTTGAGTACTCGATTGCTCTATAAAAATATAAATCTAACATTTTATGCCCGATTCGTCAAAGACGAGAAAAGGGTCCTTTGCTTTTTTAACTCACAACAGGAAATGGGAAAATATACTTCTGTTCGATAAGACAAGCACTGATAAAATTCGACAACAATATAATTAGTCTGTCTTAGGTGCTGCTGCGAGTGCTTCATTTGGGGAGATAACGGACAGAAGAAAGCAATTTCTACTTATCTTCTGAATTTTTATTTGACGTGGCTTTCTTCAGAAATCTGGAGTTGAGAAAATGAATTTCATAATTCTTTGCTCTCATGACGGGGAAATTGGGGTGGTGAAAGGATCCCCTGGGGTTTTTATACACGTAAAATTTTCGGAACCCTATTTCGCTGAGGCTTCGGAGGACCCTGATGGATCGTCGCATGCGATCCTCATTAGATGGGTACCCCACGTGACATTCCACTAGTAGCTGTTTTACGTTATCCAGCTCGTCATTACTAAGCATGCCGTAGAGTACTGACCACTCCGCACCCTCTATGTCCATTTTGATGAGGTCGACATTTCTCTTTGCATGACCAAGGATAGTCCGAATGTCCCCTATGGTATAGAGCTCGTTCCCTTCCGGTGTAATCTCAGAATAACGTCCTATACCAAAAGGATGAATGAAGATCTTGTCAGTTCTGTTGTAATCTTTTCCGGTGTAGTAAGGCTGGAAGGAATGGACGCCACATTTATACACCCGCGCCATGTCGTATTCAAAAGCAGACGAGTCTTGATTACTGAACGAGTAGACTAGACAAAGCGGGCTTTTTGGTCTGACACCCTCATCATCACACACTTCCCAGCCGTCGTCATTCAAGGAACCCATCCTGATGCGCCGACTACAAACGATGTCGGCATTGTCCAAATAGCTGTGGAGGGTCACCATGAGCTGCGTCTCATTCATAGAATTTATGTCTTCGTCGGTTAGATCCTCAATTTTGTGGTCCACGAATCCAGCAGCACGGATAAAATTGAGATCTACCTCCTTAGCGTTGTACTTCCTCACTGAAGATAAGAATCAAAACTCATAGTTAAACATAGCACAATGAAAAGGACAAATAAGAAAATCAAAGGTAAGTTACATTAACATAGTTTACTGTAGTCTACAAGGAAAGAAAAAATACAGTAGCCAACGCTACATGTTGATAATTTACTAGAATTTTTCTGGGAAGTAAAAGAATCGAAAAAGGAGGGTGGCCACCACGCCCCTATCTGGCGATCTATAATATGTGAAGTCCTAAGACCACATCCCAGGGTGAGTATCTGCATAGATCTCTGGTGGGTTGGGGAGGGGGGGGGGGTACAGTCCCCCTAGGGGCGCTAGAATGATCGGACGGGGCGGAAGTCTTTAAAATGTGTGTGTGTATGAGGGGGGAGTTGGAACTGATTTTTTGTTGAGAAATTTGTTTTTTAAAAAGAACAACAGGAGGAAAAAAAAAAGGGGGGGGGGGATTTTGGAGGTTTGTAGTAGAAAACAAAAAGAAGAAAGGAAAAGCACGTTGTGATTAACCGTGTGTACCTGTGCCAGTGTTATGTAACAGATTAAACTTGTAGTTTCCCGGTGAATTCCCTGGCCCCATTGTGTGAGAGAGAAAAGAATGAACACACTGTATCCTAAAAAAGTATATGGTAAAAGACAACTAATTATGGGTGTTTTATGAGACGTCGGAGTACATCTGCCTGAGGGGCGAGGGACTAACAGTCTGCATTCTAAAAAGCCAGATCTGTAAGTGGACGAACAACCAGAACTTTCATCCGGAGTTTACAGCCGGTGAGCGCAAAGAGGATGAAGAAAAAACAAAACTGAGTTTTAAAAATGAACAAATAAATACAAGTTATAACCAATGACATTTATCTTTCCCATGACCATTACTGTAAATGTTACTCTTAGTGACGTGCCATATGCGGTTTCTGTGGCAGTGAAAAGGTAGTGGAGCTGGCGAAGACTGCAGGAAACTCAAGCAGCCCCACTCGTATCAGAACAAACATCGTCACATTCACTTTCGAAACAATATATGCAATGAAATAAATAGAAGATAACTAACATTAAAGTCCAGAGCATGACAGCATAAACAGTAGAATAGACTAGAGCATGACAGCATAAACAGCAAAATAGATCAGAGCATGACAGCCTAAACGGCAGAATAGACTAGAGCATAAACTTTAGAATAGACCAGAACATGACAGCATAAACTTCAGAATAGACCTGAGCATGACAGAATGAACAGCAGAATAAACCAGAGCATGACAGCATACAAAGCAGAATAGACCAGAGCATGGCAGCATAAACAACAGAACAAACCAGAGCATGACAGCATAAACAGCAGAATTGACCAGAGCATGGCAGCATAAACAACAGAACAAACCAGAGCATGACAGCATAAACAGCAGAATTGACCAGAGCATGACAGAATAAACAGCAGAATATACCAGAGCATGACAACAGAATAGACTAGAGCATGACAGCATAAACTGCAGAATAGACCAGAGCATGACAGCATAAACAGCAGATTAGACCAGAGCATGACAGCATAAACAGCAGATTAGACCAGAGCATGACAGCATAAACAGCAGATTAGACCAGAGCATGACAGCATAAACAACAGAATAGACAGAGCATGACAGCATAAACTTCAGAATAGACCAAAGCATGACAGCATAAACTTCAGAATAGACCAGCGCAGGACAGCATAAGCTTCAGAATAGACCAGAGCGTAACAGCATAAACAGCAAAATAGACCAGAGCATGACAGCATAAACAACAGAATAGACCAGAGCACGACAGCATAAACAGCAGAATAGACCAGAGCATGACGGTCACCTTAGTTAACGCATTATAAAAAACATACAAAAGGTGCCACCACCGACCCCTCATACACACGCATACCCATTTCCTAACACTTTGATCAAGTAACTAAACAAAAGAAGAAGTGTATACTATATATTTGTTGTGTCCGCATTATTTGAACACACTTGGAAAATCTTGTTTTCGATGTCCGATTTATTGTTGATTATTAATACAGTTGTGCCCGTTGTGGGATGCAATTGTTCGTTATTTGAAGCCCCACTCTGGCTTTTTTTTTTTTGGGGGGGGGGGGGGGGGCCTTGAATATAGCTGGGCCACAACTGTGGCCATAACAGCTGAAAGAGGTTTCTAGGACCTCTCCACCGGTAATCCTCATCCGCATGGCGTTTCTTTTTGTCACTAGGTGTTTATCGCTTGTGTGATGTCCTGGTGGGGTACAATAAGCAAGCAAGCAAGTATTGTTGAATACTCACACGCCTCCTCTCTTTGGTCGCTCCACTCGACCTTGACCTCTTCTACCACGCTGAGGCTCCTGTAGGTGACGAACCCGACCACAATCAGCAGCGGCAGAAGCAGCTGTAGCGGAACATAGTGGACACGGCGACAGAAGCTTCTCAGCCAGACGGCCATTTTGGCTAGTTTGGACTCTGAAATATTAGACGTGTTTTACAAGGCAGTAGTAGTATTTTGTGTGCATGCGCGTGCACAAACACACGCGCGCGCACATACACGTACACATAGGTAGATAGATTAGCAGAAAAACAGATTAACATACACATAGATAGACAGACGGACGAACGGACGGACAGACAGACAGACAGACAGACAGACAGACAGACAGACAGACAGACAGACAGACAGACAGACAGACAGATAGATAGACAGACAGACAGATAGATAGATGGATAGATAGATAGATCGATAGATAGATAGATAGATAGATAGATAGATAGATAGATAGATAGATAGATAGATAGATAGATAGATAGATAGATAGATAGATAGATAGATAGATAGATAGATAGATAGATAGATAGATAGATAGATAGATAGATAGATAGATAGATAGAGGAAAGGATAGATAGATAGATAGATAGATAGATAGATAGATAGATAGATAGATAGATAGATAGATAGATAGATAGATAGATAGATAGATAGATAGATAGATAGATAGATAGATAGATAGATAGATAGATAGATAGATAGATAGATAGATAGATAGATAGATAGATAGATAGATAGATAGATAGATAGATAGATAGATAGATAGATAGATAGATAGATAGATAGAGGAAAGGATAGATGAATGGATGGAAGGACAGACAGACAGACAGACAGACAGACAGACAGACAGACAGACAGACAGACAGACAGACAGACAGACAGACAGACAGACAGACAGACAGACAGACAGATAGATAGATAGATAGATAGATAGATAGATAGATAGATAGATAGATAGATAGATAGATAGATAGATAGATAGATAGATAGATAGATAGATAGATAGATAGATAGATAGATAGATAGATAGATAGATAGATAGATAGATAGATTAGATAGATAGATAGATAGATAGATAGATAGATAGATAGATAGATAGATAGATAGATAGATAGATAGATAGATAGATAGATAGATAGATAGATAGATAGATAGATAGATAGATAGATAGATAGATAGATAGATAGATAGATAGATAGATAGATAGATAGATAGATAGATAGATAGATAGATAGATAGATAGATAGATAGATAGATAGATAGATAGATAGATAGATAGATAGATAGATAGATAGATAGATAGATAGATAGATAGATAGATAGATAGATAGATAGATAGATAGATAGATAGATAGATAGATAGATAGATAGATAGATAGATAGATAGATAGATAGATAGATAGATAGATAGATAGATTTTTCGACACAGTAGAAGAAAATTAGATTCATGGACAATACAGCAGAGTGATAGTTTAACAAAGTTTAACAATCAACACACAAAAACCGTACCAAAATTACAGCAACCGAAACTGATGAAGCTCCCTACATAATCAACAATTCTAAATTTATAATTTCTCGAATTTTATTCGAAAACATAAGAACCATACTCACGTTTGTACGCCATTCTGTCAGCTCCCATTTAATTTCTTCAAGCTAAGAGGGAAACAATAACCAGTTTGGTAAGTCTTCATATACCATTTCATGAGGTACATAAGGAAGTCACCCACAAGCGCTAACGCACATACAGGTGCGTGTATTTTGTGTATTACTACGAGGATACGCAGGTGTTGTATAAAACCTCGTAACTGTCCAAGTGGTAATATCAACCATGAATTCATAAGCTAAGGGGCGATCAATAGTTCGACTCAATATAATTATTTGATAGTCACTCTTTGAACTATTACGCTCACTGACATTTTGTTTGGGCAAAATGATTGACTGTAGTAAAGATTGACAGCTCACCATTATCATCTTGGTCTTCTTATTTTGTCGTCTCACTAATACAAGGTTGTAGCTCAGTGTCGTGGTTTTCTAATTGTCTTGAGCTTCACGTGGGGTTTGAGTGATGGATTTGTTAATCTTTTTGCAGGTTTCAACTAGACCATTTATCTATCTCTTTCTTGGTCTTCCTCTCGCCTTTCTTCCAGATGTTCTACTGTAACAAGTCTCATATGCAATCTGGTCTGGCTGCACTCTCACTAGATGGCCGAACCATTTCATTCTATGTCTATCAATATAATCAAGACATGTTCTTGTTCCAACGCTCTCTCTAATGCTGGTATTTGTAACCATGTCTCGTCAAGTGTTGTTAGTGACCTTGCGGAGACGGCACATTTCACATGTAGTTATTTTCTCTTCTAGTGCCCCATTCATTTTCCATGTTTGGCACTGATAGCATAAAGTTGGCATAAAAATGTTAATAATCATATGCTGTTTTGCTGGATGGGAGACATTTGGGTGTCTAAGCAGTGGTGCTGACTGGTAGGTGACAACATTTACCTTCTGTACTTTGGCTTCTATCTCTCTATCTAGTCTGCCATCCTCCGCATATATGCTTCTTAGATATTTAAATTGTCCTACGATCATCAGTTTACATATTAAAAAGAAAATCCCTTCTCTAGAATAGCACACTGAAAGATTAGCACCCAGTGACTCAAATAGAAACTGTTCGGATGATAACCAAACATGGGCAAATCCCACAAACCCAGTTTAATCGCAGAACAGTAACATCAGGGCATTCGAAGGTTACAAAGCAACTCGAAGTCCAGGTGAGTAGGCGAGGAGGATGTTTGAAACATCATCATTATCACCATATGCCCTGTTTTTTTTTCTTTCCTTTGTTTGAAAATAATTATCTATATCAGCAATTCTGTCATATGCCATGTTAAGAGGCGCGGCTTGCAGACTGGTTAGAATGCTGCACTGCCATGATTTAAGGTGGGGGATTTTTTTTTCTGTCGTGGGCAAAAATAAAAGGCTCACCAGCACACTGCGTGGCGACAGCACTAGCTATGCCACTAGCTATTTCCTCAGGCTCAAAGACCCCCCCTCCCCCCCCAACAAAAGTGTAATAATAAAGGCAGTGATTGTCACTTTATGAGGAGCTCGGGAGGGGGGGGGGGCTGTGATAACCGTAGGAGGCCATAGTTAGTGATTTCTACCATCTCCAGTATCATGGATCAGGTTGGCGTTTCTGGTCACTTCATCCAGTTGGCGTTTCTGGTCACTTCATCCAGTTGGCGTTTCTGGTCACTTCATCCAGTTGGCGTTTCTGGTCACTTCATCCAGTTGGCGTTTCTGGTCACTTCATCCATTTGGCGTTTCTGGTCACTTCATCCAGTTGGCGTTTCTGGTCACTTCATCCAGTTGGCGTTTCTGGTCACTTCATCCAGTTGGCGTTTCTGGTCACTTCATCCAGTTGGCGTTTCTGGTCACTTCATCCAGTTGGCGTTTCTGGTCACTTCATCCAGTTGGCGTTTCTGGTCACTTCATCCAGTTGGCGTTTCTGGTCACTTCATCCAGTTGGCGTTTCTGGTCACTTCATCCAGTTGGCGTTTCTGGTCTATTCATCCAGTTGGCGGCTGAGTCAAGCAGATAAATAACCTCCCTCATAACAAACATGTTGTTAAGGGTGACAAATGAAAGCCTTGCTGAAATAGGATTTTTTAGGTCGAGATGAGTAGCCTAGCTTAAAACCGCAACACAGTATGTCAACAGCTTGTCAAAGAGAGAAAAAAGAAATAAAAATAATATCAATAATAATAATAATAAGATAACACATGGTAATGCAATACCACTGTCTGGAAGAAAAGAACACGACAAGGTGCCATACTATAGAACTCAGGCGTTGCTAACTGTTGACTAACCCACCCAACCCTTTGCTGATAACGACAGTCAACTTGGAATATTATAATCACTTGTACTGGTAAACGCCGCTCGTAAAGACAATTTGTTTCGTGCTTACCGCCAATGTAAAGATAATTTGTGGAAATTATAGTATTACTTTCTTTATCAAAACCGGGATACGTTGTTGGATTTGTTGTCATTGAAAGTGTTATATTGGTACAAGGTAAGGCAAGGCGAGAATTTAACGAGAACGTCAACTTTAGATTATGTGAATTGTAAAAAAGCATAGTCTGTGTGTTAGAGAATTGTCAAAATACAGACCACCTATTAAAAATTATGAAAACATGTAAACCAGATGTCACGAAAATTAAGAAAAGATACAAAGCATGAAACGAAGCATGTGGGAAGATAGAAAAAGTGTTACAAGAATTGTGAATGTTGTATGTTGAATTATGAATCGACATCACAGCACTCGGAACATCCTTATAAGCGCCCCGTCCCCATCTTCAGCAGCAAACAAAGAGTTCCAATTCCGATGACACCAGTAACTGTCTGATTGTATATCCGTATCACTATTCCCTTGAGGGTTGAGCCTCGCTCAATACAGTTAGAACAATGCCCACTGATAAATAAAGACATTAGGATACAGTTAGAAGAATGCCCACTGAGAAATGAAGACATTACGATACTGTTAGAACAATGCCCACTGAGAAATGAAGACATTACGATACTGTTAGAACAATGCGCACTGAGAAATGAAGACATTACGATACTGTTAGAACAATGCCCACTGAGAAATGAAGACATTACGATACTGTTAGAACAATGCCCACTGAGAAATGAAGACATTACGATACTGTTAGAACAATGCCAACTGAGAAATAAAGACATTACGATACTGTTATAACAATGCCCACTGAGAAATGAAGACATTACGATACTGTTAGAACAATGTCCACTGAGAAATGAAGACATTACGATACTGTTAGAACAATGCCCACTGAGAAATGAAGACATTACAATACGGCTGGAACAATGCCCACTAAGAAATGAAGACATTACAATACGGTTAGAAGAATGCCCACTAAGAAATGAAGACATTACAATACGGTTAGAAGAATGCCCACTGAGAAATGAAGACATTACAATAATGAAGACATTACAATACGATTAGAAGAATGCCCACTAAGAAATGAAGACATTACGATACTGTTAGAACAATGCCCACTGAGAAATGAAGACATTACGATACTGTTAGAACAATGCCCACTAAGAAATGAAGACATTACGATACTGTTAGAACAATGCCCACTGAGAACTAAAGACATTACGATACTGTTAGAACAATGCCCACTGAGAAATGAAGACATTACGATACTGTTAGAGAAATGCCCACTGAGAAATGAAGACATTACGATACTGTTAGAACAATGCCCACTGAGAAATGAAGACATTACGATACTGTTAGAGAAATGCCCACTGAGAAATGAAGACATTACGATACTGTTAGAACAATGCCCACTGAGAAATGCAGACATTACGATACCGTTAGAACAATGCCCACTGAGAAATGAATACATTACGATACTGTTAGAACAATGCCCACTGAGAAAGGAAGACATTACGATACTGTTAGAACAATGCCCACTGAGAAATGAAGACATTACGATACTGTTAGAACAATGCCCACTGAGAAATGAAGGCATTACGATACTGTTAGAACGATGCCCACTGAGAAATGAAGACATTACGATACTGTTAGAACAATGCCCACTGAGAAATGAAGACATTACGATACTGTTAGAACAATGCCCACTGAGAAATAAAGACATTACGATACAGTTAGAACAATGCCTACTGAGAAATGAAGACATTACGATACAGTTATAACAATGCCCACTGAGAACTGAAGACATTACAACACAGTTAGAACAATGCCCACTGAGAAAAAAAAAACTTCTGCTATCTGCCCTTTATAAAGGGCAAAAGCGGACACGAAGAAGAATAACAGGAGGAGGAGAAAGAGGAGGAGGAGAAAGAGGAGGAGAAAGAAGAAGAGGAAGAAGGAAAAGACGAAAAAGAAAAATAGGACGAATAAAGAAGAAGAAGAAGAAGAAGAAAAAGAAGAAGAAGAAGAAGAAGAAGAAGAAGAAGAAGAAGAAGAAGAAGAAGAAGAAGAAGAAGAAGAAGAAGAAGAAGAAAGAAGAAGAAGAAGAAGAAGAGGAGGGGATGAGGAGGAGGAGAAAGAAAAAGAAGAAGAAGAAGAAGAAGAAGAAGAAGAAGAAGAAGAAGAAGAAGAAGAAGAAGAAGAAGAAGAAGAAGAAGAAGAAGAAGAAGAAGAAGAAGAAGATGAAGAAGAAGAAGAAAAAGAGGAAGTAGTAGAAGAAGAAGAAGAAAAAGAAGAAGAAGAAGAAGAAGAAGAAGAAGAAGAAGAAGAAGAAGAAGAAGAAGAAGAAGAAGAAGAAGAAGAAGAAGAAGAAGAAGAAGAAGAAGAAGAAGAAGAAGAAGAAGAAGAAGAAGAAGAAGAAGATGAAGAAGAAGAGGGGGAGGACGTAGAAGAAGAAGAAAAAGAAGAGGAAGAATGGGAATAGGAAGAAGAATGAAGAATAAGGTAGTAAATAATCTCATGTGAGCGAGAAAGAGACCAGGCCTTATAAAAATGATTTTATTTACAATCACAACATTACAAGGAAGTAGCAAGACTGCCTGTCGTTGTTGTTTGTCTTCCACTTAGGAAATGAAAGGTTGAAAGTGAGAAATGCAATGTCGAACAATGAGAGGGGATTAGAGGGG